CAGGTTTCACATGAGCACAATGAAGTGTTCTGGGATTCCCATTGTTCTCAAGGTTAACCACAATTTGTTGTGATCCACACAGCCAAATGCTTTTACACAATGAACCAGATAAACATTCCTCTGGGACTGCTTTCAGGCAGGATCCATTTGACATTTGCGATGATGTCCCTCACCCCATAGGCTCTTCTAAACTCAGCTTTTCTTTCTGATATTTCTATCAATGTACTGTTCTGATCATTTTTGGATAATCTTCAGCAGGATTTTGCTTGTATTGTGCTATTAGTGATATCAGTCAGTAATTTCCACCCTCTGTTGGATAACCTTTTTTTTTTGGAGTGGGAATGAGAATATTTTTATTAAACTTTTTTAAAAAAAATTTTATTTTGTGTGTGTGTACCGTCAAATCAGATCTGACTGGTACAGGAGATTGTTCCTCCTTCTCCAGCAGAGTATCTGGTGGATTTGAACCGTGCACCTCTGGGATTGCAATACACCTTCTTGCCACTAGGCCACCAGAGCTCACTAGGGAAAATATTTTTCATAAATAACAAAAACACTGAACAAATGACATACTGTTTTACAAGGTGGTAAGGTGGAAAACAACCCAAGGGTCCATCAACAAATGTATGGATAAACAAAACTTCCATACAATGTAATATTGTTGTGCACCCTCAGAACTGACCCACAGCTGACCCTCTGGTGGATTTTAAGAGACAGTATCACGAGACTGACCATCTTTCTCCTGAGGAGCAGCTGGTGGACTCAAACTGTGTGCTTTTGGGTTGGTAGGACAACTCCTTACCACTAGGTCACCAGAGCTCCCTGATACATAGTATAGATAATAAATGGTCAAAACATTATGCTGAGTCTACTGAACGTTTTAGTCAGCAATTAAGAATCCTGATCAAAAGTGGAAAAATGCAGAATTTCAAATTTTCATGGAATCAGACTTTTTAAATCCAGGGACAGTGGCTGAATTTACTGTCCTGAGATAATCTTTAAAATCTGAAAAGAAAAAAAAATATGTCCCTTAGCCTTCTGAAAAACTACTGAGGTCGTTAGTGTCTTCAAGCTGAAGCCCACTCACGCCTAGCCTGTGTATGAAAGAATGTAACCATCCAACCCTATACCGTGCTCAATCGTCATTGTACTTAATTGTACTCAATCTTCATTGTTGTAGTCTCTGTACTCATCCCCCTCCTAGGCCGTCCTCTCCTTTGCTGAGCCTACATACTTTTCCAAGCATGTATTTTTCCAAGGACTGGCCTCTCCCAATGAACATGCCCCAAATATGTGAGATAAATTCTCACCATCTTTGCTTCTAAGGTTGCACATCTTATGAAGAAATTTGTTCTTTTGGTAGTTTTATGGTTCAACATAAATTTCTTACATAAATTTGTTCAACATAAATTTGTTCTTTTGGTATGGTTCAACATTCTAGATTTTATGGCAACTAATTTTTTTAACTTAAAAAGGTTTTATCTGCAGGGAGGGGACTCAATGGAACTAGCCGAAGTCCATGTCGTCAACGACTCCTTAGACCCCACCTTCTCTCTCCTCTGCAGCAGCTGGGGCAGAGCCAGCAGCAGGAGCACCAGAGCCAGGGACTGCGGAGACGGCCCAGTGCCACAAGCAGGCATGCTGGCAAGCTAAAGTCTTCAACGTTCTTTCCACTTAGCTCTCTCATGACCTTGTTGAGCTGGCCGGCCGCTGACGACAGGGTCTTTATGCCCACTCTTTCCAGAATCTTCATGTCCTTGGCACTGGTGGAAGAACTGCCATCACCACCCCAGAGTGGCCAGGAGGGAGGAGGCAATGTAATGCATCCGAGATGGCGCTGGCTGCAGGTAAAAAGCTTAAAATTTCTTTTCAATGCTTTCTTCAGGCCTTCCAGTAATCTTCACACTGCTCATACCCAGAACCATTACAGAGCTAGTTTCAGTACTCAAGCATTCTTGTCTCCCAACTCCAACAAAACAATCTTTTTTAAAAAAAATTATTATTAAATTTTATTAGTTTTAATGGACATTTACAGAGATTTTTTGGGTTCTTTCATTGTTGCAGTTTTCTCTACCCTCCTCCCCAGTTCGTTCTTCTTCCCCTGCCCCCGAATGTCTGTTTTAATTGTCCAATTGCCATAGTGCTTGTCAAAGCCAGTTCTGCTTAATCTCCTTTGTCAGTGTGTCCTTTGCCATTCCCTATCACTCCTCCCTGAGACTTCACCCTGATTCATAAGGAAAAGGGGATGGCGTATTCTCTTAGCTACTTCCTGCTGAAAAGGGATGCTGTGGGTTTCAGGGTGAAGATCTTCTCTCACTACTCTACTGGGCCCCTTCAAAACAATCTTCTGTTTTCTACTTGAAGATTAGAAAGAATACAGCTTTAAGATGTTGGGCTGACTTATGTTCCCATGGTTTAATTCCAAATTCCTAAACAAGTTTTGTGGCTTTCTTACATATCCGGTACTACTGCTAAATCTTTAATTACCATCACAAATTTTTCTGTAATCTGACTACTGTATAGTTTGGGGAAGGGTCACTCAAGAAAATGCTGTTAGAGCTGGGAATTTAGGTGCACCCACCGAAAGAGTAAGGATGTGTATACAGAAGTATTAGAACCAGCAGAGTGGGACTAAGAACGGGGTGCAGAAACATGAGTCTCATTTAATCATTACTTCTTCAGTTCTCATTTCATGAAAATCACCCCCCCCAAAAAAAAAACCACTCCCTTTGTTTTCAATGTGAGGTCTTTCTGTGATACACTTCTGCATTATTTTTATTTCAATTGTTATTTTATAAGAAAAATGAAGCTAAAAGAAGCATTTTCTTGAGAACCCAGAGCTAGAAAGAGAAGGAAAGGATTATGATGCTAGTCTGTATGTGTTATTACCTCCCCTCCTTTAAGCCTTTACGCAAGCACAGCTTGGCTAGCTCTCAGAGAAGAGTCTGGTTCAGATTACACAAAACTCTATTTCCTTTTCTCAGCACCAATTAATAGAAGTATTAAAAGGACGCTTTAAAAAAACAACAAAGAAACATGACAGTGTCTTGGGAGTAACACATTTAATAAAATCACAAGAGTTCAAATTAAAAAATTCTTTCTTAGACAACACAAAATAAAAAAGCACAGAATTCAAATTACATGTTTTAACAAGAACATGAAATCTCATTCTGATAGAGGTTAAAAAAAATAAAACCAAGATTGAATTAATCCAACACTACCAGATATCATTTAATACACCAGAATTCATGTAGCTGCCCTCTCTCCTAGCGCATCAAAGTATCTGCCTCTGTATTTCTCTTCCAATCCAACAAAAATAACCCCAAAACACTAAGGATACCTAAAGGTGTATCATGAAATGAGAATTACTACAAAATGCTTAAAAAAAAAAGCAGATGTGTTCAATGTTGAAAAGCTGCAGAAGAAAAGACTCCATGAAATTTATACTGTAGCACGGAAAGTGTGGAAGTACTTTATTCTGATTTCAGAACACAGGATTTTGTGCCTGAAATTTAGCATAAGAAACAAATATGGCAAAAGTTAACTATAAAAGACAGTAGTAATGGTTATATAAACCCTATGATAACATGGAAAAATATTCATTTTACAAAATTAAATGAAAAAGCAGAACCATATATACATTGTAATTTCAACTATGTAAAAAAACTGAACAAAATATATCCTTATAAAAGCTAAAATGTTGCTCTTTTTTAATTTTAATGAAAGTTTACAGAGACTTTGGATTTCCATTCATTTGTTGTTGCACTTTCCTCCCTGCCCACTCCCCCATTCACTCTTCTCTTTGAAAAGTAAAAGAAAAATTCTTTCATTGTTATACAATCCCTCCCCCCAAGTCCACTCCACTATGTAGCCTTCAACAGTTGCTCAAGTCTACTATGTATTCAGAGAAAACTGCCAGTGACTGCAGTGTGTCAGCCTCCCTCTAGCGAGGTGAAAAGTACCCCAGACTGTCTGATCAAAAATTATGAAATCAAATGGAAATGTCAGACTTACAAAAAGGATCAGAAATACCCATAGTTAAGCAAAAGCTTATTTACAATACAGCAGCTCTTTAACACTGGAATCAGACATGGGGTTTGCATTTTCTTCTATTTCCTGTACAGATGCCAAATTATAAAAGTTATCATAGTAACTACAGAATACCAATCCGGGACTAGAAATAAAACAAGACAGTGCTGTAACAATCAATAGTGGACAGAGAAAAGTGCATAAATGTTACAATTATAAAAGTGCTTTCAATAAAAACATTATTGATCTATGCCACAAAGTCAGAACCGACTCAAAGCAGGACTTCCAGTGGGTTTTCAGAGGCTGGAACTAGCATGGGAGGAGACTGCTCCAGTTTCTCCAGTGGAACAGCTGGTGATTTTGAACTGCCCACCTTGGTTTAGCAGTACAAATCCTTACCTACCAGGCCACTGGAGCTCCCAAATTCATAAAAAGTACTCACTTTAAAAAAAGGAGAGGGGGGACAATACCTCCAATACTTTCTATTACAGAAGCATCCATCAGTCAACAAATACTAAAGGCTCATAGTGTGGGAGGCAATGGAGTTTCAAAGAGAAAAACTTGTCCCTGACAGTTCAAGGACATCTCAGCATCCCAGAAGTAGAGGGGCTAATACATACAGCAATAATTAAAAGCAGATGCCACTTTCTTACACCTAAAGAATATGCTGCAATTCTCAGTGAATTACTTAAACAAAAATCCTTAACACAGAAACTTTTCTGACTTAGTAGGAGCCAAATACGCCAACTAATTTCTCCTGATTAACATGTCTAGAAATATCAGACACTGCAGTTAATTCTGTAGTATTTGTCCCTAAACCACACAATGTCTAATAAAACAGTTAACTTTCACTTACTCAACTGAGTACACTTTATTCCAAGAATAAAGTATCTTGAAACTGAGATTAAGTGCTCAGATCCAGATCAAAACTAGTTAATACCACTCAGAGCAGACACTCAGGAGTATAAAGGTTAGTGAAAATCTTGTGTCTCCTCTCCCATCCGTTGATTTTCAATATGCTCCTGTGTCAGGCGCTCTATGTCTTTCCTCACATTTGGGTGGTCTTCCAGATCTTCATAGAGTGACCTGACGATGTCTAACCTCCTATAATTCTCAGGTCTGACGAGGCTTCGGACAACCTGGAGGCATCGCTCTTTCAGGGTGTACACTGGAAGGGCAGAAAACCAAACTTAAAGCAGCAGACTAGAGACTTGGAAAAGGGGATGACAAGGTTTGTCATGAAGGCAGTTAAATTTACTATAGATAACAGATCATAGACTCACCTGAACAGAAAAAGCAGAAGTGTGCATTTTAGTACATAAGGCTGATGGTCCTCTGATTATCTCTTGGTATTCAATACCTTTTGTGGTAATTTCTCTTTGTGCTGGGCTTATAATTTGCTTTATATAAATGTGATTTTTAACTGAAACTGGATGAAGTGACACTGTGGCAATCTGAGGCCTAAGCATTAAGAATACAGGTTTCACTGTTGTAGAAGAATGGGTCTGACATCAAGGTGGGGGGATGGCAGAAAAAAACTGGATAAATTATGTATATTGTATTGAAACAGATGAGGGAAAGAACAGATTAGAAGTGATATATGATTGAGTATTGTGGTTAGCACAGGAATCCAGAATTAAGGTTGCATAGAGAAGTGTACTCGGGGTGGGGGGTGGGGGGGAGGGACGTGGGAATTGTATACTAATGAAGGAATTTTTTTTCTCTTCAGAGGGGGAAGCAAGCTGGTGGGGAGGGGTGGGCAGGGAGAAAAGTGCGCCAATGAATGAATGGAAATCCAAAACCTCTGTAAATGTCTATTAAAATTAATAATAATAATAATAATAATAATAATAATAAAGAATACAGGTTTCACTTTTATAATGCTGGGAGTCCTGAACTCCCCTGCTGCAAAGCACACAAAGGGCAAAAGCCCTGAGATTACATGGAGAGAGAGGCCCAGCCTACCAGTCAACTTGACAAAAGACAACTACATCAATAAAGAGCCCAACTGTGTACTTGAAATCAGCCTAAAGAATTATGAAAAAATAAGGCACACCCCTCTCACTAAGATTTACTACCTTGAAACCCCAACAAAGGGTTACTCTGAGTTGGACTCAACTCAACGGCAGTGAGTATATACACATATTAACTTGAAGCCTACGAAGTTATACAAGAACATCATTTCTTAGTCTACCCTAAAAAAAGTCAATTGAGTTGGTGTGGTGTGTCTTTTTTTGTCAGTTGAGTTTTAAATCAATGGTAAATAATCATCTTCACCTTGAATTCACTGATTTTAAGAAACAACCAAAAAAAAAAAAAAAAAACAACAAAAAAACCCCAAACACCAAAAACATAAAAACACCACACACAAAATCCTGACTGGCACTCTTTACACTTTGCTCTTCTTCTGGAAAAGTTTGGGCACAATTTTACTCTAAAGCCATGGGAACCTTCTAAAGTCAGGTATTTTCATTTAGTCTGTATCTGAAGAGCCCAAAGAACTCTTAAGACATTATAACCTTGTTTTATAGAGAATATTACTCTGTATATTATATATGGAGGAAATACAACACAAAATGAATCCTTGTCTGATATCAGGCAAAAATCAGTAAGTATTTGGCTTCTTGAAGCAATCTATCCTGTTTATTAGAATAAACAACTTTCTTTTTCAAAAGAATGAACATTAATACCTGGCAATGTGATGTTGGCAAAAATAGGCTGACCATCAACATTGAGAGATGGCACAAATAATTCCGTTTGGTTAACCAGAAGCCCATCATATGTTCCTGCATCTCTGAAGAGCCAAAGATGGCCTGTTAAGACAAGCAGAGGCTGTTAAGTAGATAGACTAACCTAAGTCAGGAACCTACTTTAAATGCTTCCCTCTTGTGCCACTTAAATCTATACAAATCACTTACAAAAACATTATCTCAGTCAAACTTCATAGTTAGTTCAATGCACTTATAGATGAGGTAAGGGCATTCTGGGGGCTTAGTGGTAAAAAGCTGAGTTGAAATCCTAAAGGCACACAGTTCGAATCCACCAGCTGCTCCATAGGAGAAGGATGGGGAATCTCTTCCCATGCGATGTACTGCTTCTGAAAGCCCACTAGAGGATCAGGTATATGTCAGTTCTGACTGTACAGCCCACAATAACAGTACAGATGAGGTAAAAAGTCTGAAAAATCTCAAAGCAACAGAGAAGTAAGCAAATGAAAATATACTTGAGGCCTCAACTCTCATACTTTCCCTGGTACTTTGGTTAAGGAAAAAAAATCAAGGTCTACCTGAAGTATGTAACTGCATATCACACCAAACTGAATGTTACAAGAGAGAAAGTCACTAACTCCTCAAATCTGAGGTGAACAAGGTAAAGACAATTAATGTCACTCAACTGCACCAATAAAACAAAGTTATAAAGGCAAATATTTTATGTTTATTTTTACTAAATTGAAAATAAATATTTAAAAATTCCCACCCATGTTAAGAGAAAGAAGCCAGACATAAAGGGTACCAAAAACAAGCAAGGCAGCTCTGGTAGCTTAGCGGTAAAATGTCATGTGGTTTGAATCCACTAGCTGGTACAAGGGAGAAAGATGGTCAAACTCCTACTTGTGGGATTTACTGCCTCTGAAAACCTGGAGGGTCAGGGTTGGTTCCAACTTGATGGTATACAAGAACAAAAACAAGCAAAACTATAGTGTGAAAATCAGAAAAATGGCTGTTTGTGGGGGCAGAGGGAAAATTAAGTGGAAGGAGGAGAAAATGTTCTGGGGTGATGGAAATGTTCTAATCTATAACTTGATAATTTGTGTTTGCTACATTTGTTATAGCTCATCAAACTAGGATCTGTGCATTTTACTATATGCAAAGTATATCTGAATTTAAAAAACAAATGAGTCATCTGCAAAACAAGAGGAAAAGAAGGTAAACCTTCAGGCCTAAGACTTTTTCTTTAACGTGTTGCCGCAAACGACGGCAAAATGTGTTTCTAAGCACGGTTGTCAATTTAAAAGGGTGCGGCAACATGTTAATGAAACAGGTGGTGTCTTGAAATAAAAACAGCCCATGTTCCTAGAGCATAAACTTACTTGAAAATTCAGTGGGAAATTCTAAGAAATAGTTAATTTCTAGTCAGTCACAGACAAATTCTAAAGAATTTTAAAAAAAAATCTCACAATTTCTTACATATAAGAGCCTACAGAAATGTTGATCCCTGGAAGACTATGTCCTCATCAAACATTAGGGGAACTTTGACATAAAAGCTTGAGAAGCAATCAGAAAAGTTTGAGAAGTTTGGTGTAAGTTTGAGGGCTCAATGGCTAATCCTAAATTTAGCAATACTGACTCTGAAGATTGCACTGGAGCGTAGAGAAGCCAAAGCACAAGGAAGAAGTCAAGATGCTAAAGAGCTGAACAGAAGATTCCAAAAGGCTGCTCGGAATGACAAAGCAAAATACTACAATGAAATGTGCGAGGA